GCCTTGTCAGAAGTGTAAAATTGGCACAGCAGTCCAGAACCAATCAAGGAGCAACATGAATTATCATAGACCAGGAGTTGAACGTACTACTGGAAGAGGTCAAAAACAACTCATCAATCAGTGAAAACACTATTCTTATGCTACTAATTATCAAAGTTAACCAAAATCCAGGATACAGAAACAAATGTCATACAAGAAATAGGGAGAACCAATTATGTAACAGTGAAAGAGCATAGTAAATGTAAGAGAACTGTCCTTAAAACTGTAAAATGCAGGATTAGAGACTGTGAAATGTAGTGATGTAAACTTTATTCTGTGATGATGAAAACTAAAATAGTTTTGTCAAACTTTGTACACAGTAGATGCAGCCACCTAGAATGCATGAGGTGTCAGTTGATATACCACTGTAGACACCATGATATTCCAGGCAGCAGCACATCATGGCATTTTTATTTTTTGGAATAATCTGATGCTGCACTTCTTTCTTCTTGGTAGTTGATAAAATTAAGGTTCACCAAGGTTGATGAAGTGCTTTGTTACGTTACGTGTATTAATTAAAGCATAACTTTTCTGATATAGCACTGGATGGATTGTTTCACGTCTGGGTGGTTGTATCGTCTCCTCATGGTGAGAAGAAACTTAGTATGGGCTGCACTCTTTTATTTACACTCTTCTTGTCTGAAGAACCACAACCAAAAGCTTTTATGCTGTAAAGCCACCTAAGTGTTTATAAACGCCACTCTGAGGTGTAATGGAAAACGGAATTGTGTTGGCTTTCTAAACCCAATTAATTCCATTTAATGCAATGTACTATATATATCTGATTAATTTTAAGAAAAAATATGTTTTTCTCAGTTTATTATCTTATGCTTCCCCAATACAAATGGTGACACACACTAGAGGTGAACATTTCCATGAGATAGGAAGCCACTAATTAAATACATGGTTAAAACAATTACATTTTCTGGCATGCCACCAAGGTTAAAAAGTCCCGTGAAGTAATGTCCACAGATTTCCATACTGTACTTCAACTATAGTATAGTATTAGTAATGTTCTTTGACATTGCCTTCATCTACCATAATTACACCACTGTTTTGCAAGTGATCATTAAAATTATATTAACATATAGAGCGGCGTAGACAATACCTCAATAACAAATTGCAATATTAACAATTTAAGTTTATAGATAATGTGGACGCATATCAGATAATGCCATTCAAATCACTACTTAAAACTTTTAGTTTAATCTGGCCTTTATTTTACATGTTTATTTGCTTTTAAATATAACATGTTTTTTATGCCACTATGTACAAGCTATTTTATAGGTATTTGACAATCAAAATCTAAAATAAAACTGTATACTGTATGTAACACTGTATGTGTTGGATTTGTGGTAGCAAAACTATAACTATATTCCTGTCTCAACAATGTTCTTATTGTACCTGATTAAATTGTTTGTTGCTAGTACTGTATGCATACAGTATGAATAGTGCAGGAAAGCACTAATGAGTTAATAACCATTTAATACTGTACTGGTTTTTCTGACAACCACACACAGCTGTGGTACTTTAAGGTGAATTGCAATGGTAATAATCTGAGTAATTGTGATTAGTTTATAGTCACTCCATGAAAGTCATCATTATCTAAGAATTTCCATGAAACCAGGCACATTAAAAAACCTGATCCAGGTTCAATGTTCCATTCGTGGTATATATTATAGCAATAGCTACAGTAAGTTATGTATTTTATATATTTATATAACATATAAAATATGGTGTATTTTCAATAATTATTACTTTACACTTAGAAATAAAGAAAAAAAAGTTTTAATAAAGCTAAAACCACTAACATTTAACACGCATGCCACTTATCAATCTGCCTTGAGCAGTAAAGGGCTAGAAAGGGAAGAGCAGGGAAGGGCTTAGTTCTGTATGTTGTAACTCACTGCAGTATACCACACTTTGCTTTCTGCTGAAATGAGTTTTGAGGCACATTCTAGATGGCTGCATCTGTACATATATACTTATTGTAGTCCATCCATCCATTTTCTAATGCAAGGCAGGGTACACCCTGGAAGGGATGCCAGTCCATCGCAGACATATTGTAGTCCTGTACATAAATATACAGTATAATACATGCATATTGCCATTTAATGTGTGTGATGCACATTAAGTTAACCCTTTCAGAAGACACACTACTACTAGTTATCACATCACTAATATTGAATAGCGTTTAAAGGTCTGACAAGCTGCAAGCTCACAGGCATCTAATGTGGTAAGCTAAGGGTGACTTCACTGAGTCAAGGTAAACTGACACTGAAAGAACTTAGTTGCACTCTGCTGATTAGGGAAATCAGTCTCACTGCCAACTAATGACATAGCCCAACCTGAACCACATCAGAATCAGAATCAGAATATGTTTTATTCTCCACATGCAATGGGAATTTCCCTTTGGCCTCACTGAGACAACAATAAAACCAGTGTATATACCATGTACATAAAACATTCAGTGGATTTTACAATATGCAATCAATATAATATAAATAACGATATCATTCAATACAATATTGTAAAAAAAAACATAAGATTCCAGCATGAAGCACAAGATTCAGGTGTGAGCTGCATGTTTATAAATGCTGTCAATTCAAGGAGCTCTGAAGGAGCTCATACATCAGGCTTTAAAAGTAATGGCATTGGGAATGAATGACTTCTTAAAAATGTGCTATGTAACCTTTGGTACTCTGAAACGTCATCTGGATGGTAGTTTTTCAAATTGGGAGTTTAGTGGATGTGAGGCATCATTTACTATTTCCTGTAAACACTCCTAGTATAGATGTGGATTAGCTGGTTCTGTTTCTGACCAATGATTTTGCTGTCTCTGTTTATAATACTTGAGATCTTGGCTGTGCCCCTCACATCAAAATTCCCATACCAAGTAGACATGTTAAAAGAGAGCACGCTCTCTTCTAGACTTGTGTAGGCCAGCTCTGGGATTTGTTTGCATACATCAAAGCTCCTCAGCCTTCTTAAGAGAAACAATCTCTGTTTTTTTTTTTAAACTGTTGTCTGAGAAGTTCAGTTTGTTATCAATGTATGTGCTTAGATATTTAAAACATGAAACTTGTTTTGAATCTCCATGAGCTGACCCTTTATGTTTATAGGTTGAACTGTGACTGATTTAATACTGACTGAGTGTAGCACTAATTCTTTTGTTTTCTTTGTGTTTATTTCCAAAGTGCTTGGCTGGCACTTAGTGAGTCAAGCGAATACTTTGACAAAGCAGAATGTTAGGACTGAATTTTCACTTCACTGCTGAAGTCCAATCAAGGTAATATCACCATCTTATTTAAGCAAGCTAAAAATGCCATCATTGAAAAAAAACAAATTTGCCTGGACTTCTGGCCCCAACACGTACTATATTTAGCACCTTCACTGTTTGAAAAATGTATGGACCCCTGATGATTACTTTGTAGTAGTCAACTTAACTAAGTTGGTAAATTGTTCCTGAGAGAATTTACAGTACCTGTTCCTGTTAGAATCACAACTTGATAAACAGGGACACTAAAAGTGATAAGTTAGAAACTCCAAAAATACTGTATTTTCATTAATTACAGTGTTTTATCCAGACCAAACTACAAAATAATATAATTAAATAACATGTTTACATGCTCAAATCAGACCAGCTTGTAACTGTTTGTTTTGTCAGTTAAAGGTGTTAACAATATTTAAAAATACTAATAAAGAAATCTTTTTCAAACCATATGTTTTTCATGGGATAAATTGCAGCTAATAATTTGCTAAGAGTTTCGGTTTCTAATACATTTCATTAAGACGTTTTATGCACATATATCTGTTACCACACCAAGATATAATTATGTGTTGATATTTAAATTACTCACATTCTGCTAATTAACATCACTGACATCTTGTCTTAACTTGTTAAGAACATAATTGTGGGCGTTTACTGGGACTGATTCCTATACTCAAGGGAGGAAGCAGAAGACCAAGCATGACTATGTGGTTGTGCCTCAGTGCCACTGCTATTCCTGGGGGTCTGTATTATTGCTCTTCTTATGAAGGGGACAGAATGAAAGATTGGAATAGAATGACAATTATAAGGCTCTGTGTGCAAGCACAAACTTGTCATTTCATAAAAGTTTTTTTTTTATTTCCTTTCATTAATAATATGTAGATAAATGACTGACTTCAGGGTAAAAGATACTTTCCCAATCTCATTTTGTACGTGATTTTGCCTGTAACTTTCAGGTGTACATTGCTCTTACTGTAGCTATCTTTTGTTACAACATTTTAGTGTTAAATGATTCTTTATAAGCAGTACATCACCATTTTGAGAACATTCATAAAAAAATGCATAATGTCTGTGATGACAAAAAAAAACAATGAGGATGATGTGAACTCATTATTTCATTCTGTTGGAAGCCTCCCAATGTCCAAATTATGAATGTGATATCTACTATAAAAGAAGGACCAATTACTAATTTTGTTGACTTCACAGCAATGAAAAGAAAAATTCTAAATATTAGACCTACTGTAGATAAATACTGTATAGTATAATATGAACTAAGAATGTACAACAATTACTGTATAATTAATAAGGCAAGTCCTAAAACTATCCAATCCCGGGAAATGATTTCCACCACTATCAGAAATATGCTTGTTTTCTAAAATAGTATATATGTTTATAGTGTATTCTACAGTATTTCATGAGCTTTGGATGAAATTCTACTGTATGGTTATGCTGACACTGTAATGCTAATTGTAGTCTTGATGTTTGTTCTTATTATTTTTTATTTGTGTGTTTTTGAAAATGCAATAAAAATGTTGTTAAAAAAATGAGGACCAGTTAAGAGAGTGAGGCCATCTTATGTAAATGTTCTTGTAGCAGGATGGTATATATGTATGTATTGTATATATATATATTAAGCATAGTTTTAACTATAGTTTTTTAACTAGAATATTTCACTTTTTTATGATTTTACCTTAACCACCTCTGCCAACCTGAGACCAGAGTACTCTGTTGACGTTTTGTTTTTTCCTGCTTTAACAAGAGTGAGATAGTATCCACTTCCAAAGCACTTTTTCAGAAACAATGAGGATCCACAGCAGCACATCTTTCCATGAGAAATAATGGCGATACGATCCCCAAGAATATCAGCTTCATCCATATGGTGAGTAGACAGGATGATTGTGCGGCCTGAAAATAATAAATTGCAATAATTAAAAACATTTTAAACATCTATCTATCTATCCAGTCATCTACTCACCAGGGCTATAGCTGAAACATCTGTAATTGCAAAGAGAAATGTTGCTTTCTTTTTGTGAACACTGTGGAGTTATTGTGGTCATTTTAAATGTGGTTAATTTATTTTCAAGTCTTTTTTAATTTTAACAAGATTTAACATTTATTAAATGAAAATATCCACATGAGAATAAAATGTAAAGAATGTACAATTACAATTACAAAATTAGTTGAATGTCTTGTGTCTGTGTGCAATAATAGTGGCTCAAGTGTTTTTTGGATAAATACACCTGCCTCACACAGTGAATTTCAAGTCATTAACCATAAAGACAAAAAAACTTTAACAAACAACATATACTGTACTAAACGTTTTACCAGTTTAAGTGCTTTTAGAGCAAATAACTCTTAATAAAATTTAAAAAATAAAACAATGTTAATAACTGCCTGTCTGCCATATCCCATGACCATGGTTTACACTATTTCCCTTACTGCCCACACTTTCCGGAACACCTCTAGATGAGTGTAATAAATGAACTCTAGCTTCAGCCAGGACATGACTATCACTCTAAACACAGTGAGCACAATCACGATCGTCATATAAGTCACCCTATTTAACCTAATATTAATTATACAGTACATACCTTAACATAACCCAATAAAAATGCAGCTAATTTATACCTATTATCACGATTGTAGTCCCTTCCCCTTAAGGGTGCTCCTGCATGTTCACTTTTTTGTTGATTTTGTGCACCAGCTCCCTGTTCCCTGAGCCAGACGCTCACTCTGTTCCGGCTCTGCACTGGAACACGGACGCCCAGAGGCTCACCTATCACTGAGTCGCCCTATGTCCGTGGCTAGTGTGGCATTCACCTCCTAGGTGTCCTGAAACTCTTACTTATCATAGGCCCAAGCCCAGGACCTGGAGTGTCTGGTTCCGTTCCCCCTTTCTTCCCCCAGACCCTTCGCCGGATCCCACTCTGGTTTTTAACTTTGTCAGGTCTGTCTACAACCCCTTGCTGGATTCCGCTCCGGTTTTTAACTTTGTTTTGTTTGTCTTGGATTTATCACCCGGCTCTGGACCTTCGCCTCCACTGGACTTCCCTTAGGACTCCCTTTTGGACTGTTCGCCTAGATCACGCCCCCCAGAGCACCTTCGTCACGCCCCCCCAGGTCTTCCACCAGCCCAGTTCCTCGTCTCCCCCCTGTGTGTGTTCACTCCCTTCCGGATTGTGTCATCTGCATAGGGTCCTGAAAGACGCTTCATAACACCTACAGTATATTTCCTGTGCGTAAATCTCCAACTCATTTTTGCAATGATGGCTTATCTAGACTACTCCAATTGGAATTATAGTCTTCCCTCACTTCTAACCTCCCCCTTAGTGAATATCTGAAAGATCTTTGATAGCCTCATAATGATTTGTTTTTAAAGGCAGCTGTACAGGTCCTCCCTTCTCCACGGAATAAACCTAAAAGCTCTCCTTTGACTAAAAACACAGTAGTTTCCCTGAATTAACATTTTTTTATTATAAATAAGTTGCCATGCTTGCAATTTTAAATGAGAAGGTTCTGAGTTTTGATTAGCTTCCCTAAAAAGACTGAGCAACACAAGCCTTGTACTCCAGTACTGCCCGCATCTGCATTAAAACCAGGCTGATAAACCATGTTGACCTGACCGACACATCTAAAGCCTGAGAAGAAGTATGCTATTTATCCAGTAAATGGACAACCTTGTGGAACTGTTTCTTACCAAATTGCAGAAAAACTAGACAATTGTAGAGATTGGCAACTCAGAGCTGAATTGCATATTAAAGGCGACTCTAAAAGCCAGTACAGGCTCGTAGGCTCAGCCCCCTCACTTACTGCCATTGTGTTCCAGGAAAGCAGCATTCCTTCCTAAAATGCAGGTAAACTGAACGAGGCCAATTTACTTACGTTTATCAATAGCAGCTGCCTGTCACACTGCACCCCCTCAGACACCTTGTAAAAGAAGGCAAAAGCAATATTCCTCCTGAACAGAGTCGGAAGAATATACTGTAATAACCTGTTTTGCTTGGAGTTAGAATGCAGCAACTCAACTGTACAGTACTTTTAATATCAATTAGGCCCTACCCTCCGTTCTCAACAGGCAAAAACAGCAGACACAATTCTGTCTGGAAAACCTTCTCGTCAATGGAAATAGAGTCTTTATAATACACAAATGTGTTTTTATAGCAGCAGACTATAAACAAAATCCATGAAAAATGTACAATAGATGCACAAAAGAATAATTTGTTGAGCAAGGTTATAGTCACAGGCATACAGTAAATGAGAACTTAACCCTATGTTTTTAAATGGGGAAATCATTTGCCCATTCACCAGTTACTGGTGCCTGTACTTGTGCAAATCTGCCAGTCTTCACTGTTTAGTCATCAAAACGAAAATATGTCATCAGAAATTGCCTGTTGACTTCTTTAGAACTCAGTGATGTTCTTCTTCACCTCTCTCATCACTATAGCTGCACTAAGGGTCACATGTTAATCTACAGCTGTCAAATAGATCTCACCTGCACCTTAGCCACTTCATACCACTGCCTCAGTGAAGGAAAGATGTGTCTTGTATAGTGCATCCCTCCATAGAGGTTTTAGTTTTCCGAAACCTAAAACATTTTAAAAAACTACAGAAATACCAATATGATTAATACTTTTTATGTGATGGAATAATACTTTACCATATTATTCAGTAAAGACAACTGAGTAAATTAAGTTAGCATCATTTATCCAGAGTTGCCTTAATTGACTTCTGGAAAGACATCAATTAGTGACCAATTTTAGTTGATGTATATAACAGTAAAATCCATCCAATCTGGCCAGAGATTCCAGATCTGGAGAACCTTTACTCCATATGTCCTGTCTGGCAGTTGGTTAGAGATTTCACCAGATGTCCACCAATTCATGTGCTATTAAAATAATCACTGATTCAGTGGCTGACCTTGTGTGGGGTTCTGAGCTGTTCCTAATGCCTCACTTTCTGTGTAGTTAAAATTCCCAGCCAGTGTCACCATCTCTTCAACGTGACAACCTGAGTTAAGATTTGATTTAGATTTTGACATAGAACATTTTCTCTTACATCATTTGGACATGTGATGTTAATACATAGAAAAGTCTTGCTTACCACCCACACCCAAATCTTCAGAAACCAACCTTTAATCACTTCAGCCATGTTATAAAATCCAGAATCAAATTTTTTGGAAATAAAATAGCTTCACCTGCATTAAAATTAGAGCAATGACCAGGGATTGCTATTCCTTCCCTCTCACTAACATAGTGTGTCAGATATGTAATATTTGCTAATCAATTATGCTTTCTCTTCTGTGTCTGTACACCCATTTACTTTGAGTGCTCCCAGATTAAGGTTACGCATCAGCAGGATATTGAGAAAATCACAATGACACACTAACTGAGAAGGAAACAAGTAATTGGCTAGAATAAAGGCATTGGTGAACATGAACATTTTCACTTTTTTGGTGTTGTTAAGATAATCTCTTAAGTAATCCTACATCACATATTTTACACATCTCACTTATAACATTCTTTAATGTAATGCACTCTTTGTTTTCCATTCTCATGGCTGTAGCAGTGTGCATAAGTTGCATAGAGCTGCAAATTAGTTGCAAATAAGAGCTCAAAAACAGCTGGAGATCTGGAAAATAATTAAATATGCTGATCTCCCACCTGCCTTTCACTCTTTCTAAATATGATGTGATGCTCTGTGCTATATCTGTCACGATGCATTAATTGGGACCCTATGCAAATGGTAGAATCCGGAAGGGAGTGAATCCGACACGGGGGAGAGAAGACTGGGAACTGGGCTGGTAGACAAACAGGGGGGCGTGTCGACGGTGCACTGGTGCATGGGGTGGCATGGTCCAGGCGAAAGTCCAAAGGGAAATCCAGGGTGAACGCAAGAGTCCAGAACCGGCTAATCCATCCACGACAGACATGACAAAAGTTAAAAGGCGGAGCAGGATCTGGTGCAGGGATGGGCAATAAAAAAAAGGGTAATGGGGCCAGGCGCTCCAAGCCCCAGACCCAGATGGTCAGGACTCGCTGGTAGGCGGGCACCCGGGCGTCCATCTTCCAAAGCTCAGCCCAGAATGGTAAGAGCATCTGGCTATTATAGGGAGGGGCTGGATGGGAAGCAGGTGCACAAAATCAACTCAAACAAGAAAGAGCCAGGAGGAGGACTTACAATCGTGATAAAATCCTTCAGTCATCTATTGGCTATTTTACGCTCATAAAGGAACAGGTATTACAGCCACCCCTTTCATTGTCTGAGTGGTTCTCAGTTACACTAATTTCAGAGCAACAACTTCCTGAGTGTCTTCACTGGCCATAGAACTCTCCGAAAAGGTCCCTTATTTCACAATCCCTTTGTTCTTAATTACTCTTTATGTGCTGTTCTGCTCCAGTGTTTCCATCTTTCAAACACCGTCCCCACTCAGACTTTTCCCATGTCCACCAACTTTTTCTTTCACCCATTCTCTGCTAACCTGCATCTCTCTCTACCACAAGATAGCCTATGATAATCTGTAATAGTCACTTAAACTCTGTTTCCCAGAACTGGAGGCACCACTAAATTACTATCCCTTCAGGCCAAAATGAGTCCTTACTCTCCCACTCTCACCCTCTAGCTCTTGAGACACTTTGATACTCTTTTACTTCCCCCCTACTGAATCTCACTGTTCCTTAAACCAATAACCAGTCTGCTAAACTCCATGGCCAGGTAGCATTGCATCTGGTTCATCAGGTATCTACTCTTCAGATTTCAAGCCTTATGCCCTTCATGCCCACATTTGAAACATTCCTTGACAAGATCACTTCCAGCTATTTGAAATTTTATTGGGATATTTAAATCACTGTTTATATTATTCTTTATCTTATACAGCTGTCCCTTGAATGAATCCATGTTTCAATTCT